TGTCATACACTGAAGTCAAAGGTTAGTCTTTGGTACTTATAGGGAGACTAAACCCTTGATAAGGTTAGAAAGTCATTGTCATACACTGAAGTCAAAGGTAAGTCTTTGGTACTTATAGCGAGACTAACTTACAGGAGACCCTTGATAAGGTTAGAAAGTCAATGTCAAACACTGAAGTCAAAGGTTAGTCTTTGGTACTTATAGGGAGACTAAACCCTTGATAAGGTTAGAAAGTCAATGTCAAGCACTGAAGTCAAAGGTTAGTCTTTGGTACTTATAGGGAGACTAAACCCTTGATAAAGTTAGAAAGTCAATGTCATACACTGAAGTCAAAGGTTAGTCTTTCGTACTTATAGGGAGACTAACTTACAGGAGGCCCTTGATCAGATAAATAGGTCAAGGTCACCCAATTAGATGGTCAAATGTCGGCCCTAGCAGGACAGAATTAAACTGTTGTATGGAATGTTTTTGATGAAATAATCACAAGTACAGTAAAACCTCATTCTATTACCAAAATTTTTCCAGCAAAATTTTGGTGTTAAACTGGTTTTATGATATGTTTAGGAAGACATGTTCAGAAATTGTTAAATAGAACGTAAAGAAAAAAGACCCTTGAAATGTATTGGCTTCATCTGATTTCATGGAAATAATGCAAGCCTAATTAAGGCGAATAAAGGATCATTTTTTTATGAAACTTTGAAAAAAATGCACTATATGTATATACAATGTATACGTATTTGCAGGCTAGAGCTGGCAGAACTACAGTAGTCGTGGCCCATCGTTTATCCACCATCAAAACTGCCGACACTATAGCTGGCTTTAAAGAAGGAGTAATCGTGGAGCAGGGCACCCATGAACAGCTGATGCAGAAAGGGGGCGTGTACCATCAACTTGTTACGTTACAGGTAATCCATATATTTCCACATTAAAATCAATGATTAACCTTAGTCTTAGGGGCTCAGATAGTAACTTATGATATTAATAGGGATATTCAGATGCTGATGAATTGAGATGCTACAAAAAAAAAATGATTTTAGAGAAATTTCTGAAAATGAATAAATAGTTTTATATTTCCCATCTGGAGTTGATCATTTTAAAGCCCTACATGCAAAATATTAATGTTGAATTGGCATCATTTTGAAAATATTATAGTTTTATAGTACTACAATTTTGTGTTAAGTTGTTTGTAAGCAAATTGGTCGTTGAATATCTGGCTCATCTGCATTGATTTCCTATGACAAAAAAAGAATTGGGTGTTTTTGAATAAGCTTGTTCAGCAAGTTTATGCCAAGGCTGTTTTGTTCATAATCACATATTTATACCCCTACAACAATCAATTTCTGTGAGAGAAAAAATATTGAAGGGATATAGATATGGTGTTTAAATTTTGATTCATGACTTTATTGACAATTGTGAAATTTCTGTTTGGAAAGGAGAGAAATGATATCACTTATAATACATGGTATATATACTCATCTTATTATTTTATTTCCAGACAAAAAAACATGATGCTGAAGGTAGGTTGATTTATTGTTCATATATTAAATGCTATATCGGACTGTTTAGCTGAAATTGTACCTTGTAAATAGATCTCCATGAGAAAAATATCCACCATGGTTAATGATATCAGACACAAAAGAAAATCTTGGTGGACTGTAAAGTCCACAGCTAAAACAATATTATAAAGAATAAATCTATTAAAGTCTGAGTTAGCATAGAATATTTATTGTGATTTTACATTGTGTGAAAGTCTTGTAATTTGAAATGTCAAGATAAAAAATTGCAATTCAAACTTACATATTTACACACAACGAGGAGATATACTACAAACCCTGAAGTAATGGGCGCACAACAAATATTGCATGGATAATTTTTTAATTTAACTTTAATGCAAAATTACAAAGTGGGGGAAGACATATCCTTGTCAAAATGACATCCTCATGATTACATTTGGTGTTGAAGTCAGTTATGGATTAATTACTTCAACTAGGGTCACGCAAGTTCTCCTGCTTATGTACCTTTATGAGTAGGACAGTTTGAAGGACATTGTTTTTACCTTGACCTTTGTGACCTTGGATAAGCTTTTGTCTTTAGGTCAGTTATGGACTTATTACGGCAACTACGGACAAGCAACTTCACATGTCAACACTCCTCTATGAGTACAGCATGTTGCATGACTTAGTAACCTTGACCTTTCACCTTGTCCTTACTTTTCTCAAGTATGGTAATGGGACATCAATGTCTTACAGACAGTACATTTCTAGCTTGCTAACAGGCATGACATTTTGGAGGTGTTCTCAGTAGCACACAAAATTAAATATTCAAGGAATGGAAAGCATTAATGCTATATCTATCACAAGTCTTTGTTATTGATGTTCATTGTAACAAAATCAGTATTACATTCATTGGAGGGTGACGGTAACTAAGGCCACCCTTCAATAAATATATTAATATCATATGCAGATACTTGTTGTTTTTATAGAGGATGAATTAATTGAAGAGTATACAACACCGGAAAAAAAACCTTCGAAGACATTAAAGACCCAGAAGTCTGTAGTGGATGCCAAGAAGTTAGAAGCCTTGAATGTAAAGTCAGACACAGATGTCGATAAGGTTAGTTATCCGGAATAATTATATATATAGATTCATCAATTTGGCATGCATAAAAAAAGCTCAGTTTGTTTTGAACACAAACAGGAATTGAAAACTTATTTTGCGAGCTTTTGAAAACGTCTGTTTCCTTTGTCAAGCAAAGAGTGCAAATGGCCGGTGTCTAGACTCTAAACCGCTGAAAACAACTCACTAAGCCAAAGTGTGCAAATCAGTAAAGTCAGCTGTCAAACATCATGTAGATAATTGAAGACATTTCACCCAATTGCACACTGTGGCTTAGTGAGTTGTTTTCAGAGGTTTAGAGTCGAGACACCAATCATTTGTACTCATTTTTCTCATTAAAAAAGGACTTTGTGTTAAGCTTTATTTTTCATCAAAGTTGGAGCATGCTCTTTGTAATTTATGTAGTAATTAGTCCTCATCAATTTGCATTGGAGAATGGGTGTATAAATGGTATTATAAAGTTACGATAAGAAAATCAGACAGTCTTTTATGAAACATGTAATTAATTTTGATGTTTCTAACCTGTTCAGAAAGACAAGGATTTGCCTGAACCTTCATTCAAAAGGATCATGAGACTGTGCGCCCCCGAGTGGTACCTCGTTGTGATTGGCTGTTTGGCCAGTTTGATGTTTGGAGGAGTCCAGCCCTGTTTTGCTATAATATTTTCCAGTATTATTACTGTAAGTCAGGCCTGTTTTGCTATAATATTTTCCAGTATTATTACTGTAAGTCAGCCCTGTTTTGCTATAATATTTTCCAGTATTATTACTGTAAGTGTATTTTGTTGTTTGAACTAAATGAATGCTATGATGTGGTCAGGTTGGAATTTAGAATACAGAACTTAAAAAAGAAATAAAAAGAGTGTAAAATGTAAATGATAAAAGTATTGATTGCCAAATGACATGCGTCAGGAACTTCATAAAAAGGTGTGTGCTGTTTCCTGTACATATTCAAATCAAATTAATCTAATCTAGCTAGCAAACACTTTTTTGGCCATCGTAATATGGAGGGAGCCTTCCACCAGATAATAACTTTCTGAAAAAGTGTATTTTCTGCAGTATACTGTTATCTGCCATAAGTCTTAACCCTTTCACCCCTAAGTAACTTGAGTAGACTCTACCATACATTCATCTGGATGGGTCCATGATGGTCTACAGTGGTGAAAGGGTTAAACATTGCCGGTACATGTTTTCCCATTGGATTCTATGTTAATTACCTTTCTTCAATAAATTTTCATGACTTTGTTTTTAAGTCTTCCTCAAATGCGGATGAAAGAGAATTCTCCTATTTCAAAATTATGCTAATTTCATTCCATTTCTGTACAGGTGTTTGGTAACACAGACTACAGTTACCAGGAGAGGGAGATAAGAATGTATGTTCTCATCCTCGTTAGCATTGGAATCGGTGCTCTCATTGCTCTCTCTTTACAGGTATGGTCCTTCTCACCTATACAATAATTTTCTCAAAAATACAAGTGTTCACCACATAAAAATATGTTGGCTGAAAATTACTTGTGCATTATAAATTCATCAACATTTGTCATAAAACTTTGTTTTGAAAGAAAAAAACTTCTCTTTAATAATGTGCAATCATATGAGGCAACTAATATACATAGATGCATAGACTTATTCTGACAAAATTAGGACTTAACAATCCTTTGACACTCAGCGCTGAAATAAAAAACAATTAAATAAAAACATATTTAAAAAGTTGCGACGTTTAGATATGGCATCCTCAATACTCCAGGGGTTACACCAACTTTCGCTCTTTGCACCCCTGGAATATGTCATAGCAGGATCAAAGGCTCAGTGTGCACTACCTTGTATAAAAATGACTGGCTTTGAAGTTGGGTGTCACTCCTCTCTAACCTTCAAAGTACAGGTATCAGCCTAGCAATTGATCAGGGTTTTTTACCAGAGACTAATCAAATACCTAGCCGTGTGCCTTCAATTTAGTTATGACATATTCCAGAGGTGCAGAGAGCGAAAATGAGTGTAACACCTAGAGTATCAAGATTGCTACATCTATAATATGGCACACCACCCAGTCACATTATTTTAACAATAGGCTATACGTAACCAGAGATGCTTTGGAGACAGCCTGATAGAATGAGTAAATAAAAGGAAAACAACAAAAAAACAGAGCAATAGGGGCAATGAGTAGTTTTTGGTTTAATCTATGGCCAGTTAAGCGAAGACACAGCAGAAAACCTGGTTCTGGAGCGAGAACCGTATTACCTTGTCCAAGTTATGACATATCATTGGGGATATATATTTTTCTCATATCTGGTCATGGTCTGCAAAGCCTCTGGTTTTATCAAATTTGAAAACCCCTCGGGTGGAATTTCCCTATCCTTCACCCTTGGACATGAAAGAGTCTTATAGAATTGCGATTGGACATTTCACAGTATCTTGAGTGACATGATTAGAGTACTTTTAACTTTTAAAAGTTTTGTCAGAAATACTTGATACAAGTTTTTCTTATTAGATTTATAATTTTTAAGGAGAATATTCTTTTTAAGTTGTGATTAAATTATACTGTTATAACAGAGCTACATGTTTGGGAAATCAGGAGAAAATCTGACCATGAGACTGAGAAAAATGGCATTCCAGGCCATGCTACGACAGGTAAATAACCACCATGTAACTAAATCACTAAACTAACAGGCTTGCTGTTTGTGTACTTACGGTGTGATGTTCACAACAGTTGCCATAGTTTAGGTAAAATTGAGTTCTCAATGTTTTCTGAAATTTTTCACAGTCACAAAAATACAAGATGTTATAAGTATTTTTCAAGTAAGAAAGAAGTTTTGAACTTTTCAAAAAACATGTACCATGGCCAGTGAAATCAAATTTAGGAGGTAAATACAAACATTTTTTTTTTTTTTGATTGAGCCTGCAGTAAAGCTAAAATTTCTGGAAATGTCTTTGGTATGTTATAGAAATAATCATTTTCATTCCTATTTATTTTGATATATAACCCAGTAAACTAATTATGTTACTGCAGCAAATATTTTACAAAGGTGTTTGTAACTCATCTTTCAGTAATGGTTAAGGATTTAGATCAAAAGGCTAGGCAGAGGCTAATATTATTTTCACAGAAGAATCTCTGCATAATTATGTACATAACAAAAAAACAGATTGGAAGTAATCCATGAACATACACAACACGAATAACGTGTTTTTTATGTATATCTTTTGTTTAGGATGTGTTTAGAATATTAATTCTTGTGTTAAGGACATGTCCTATTTTGACGACCAGAAGAACAGTACTGGAGCCTTGACTACCCGTTTGGCCACTGAAGCCTCAGAGGTTCATGGGGTCTGTAGTTTTGAACATCAAATATTCATAATCTTGTATTCTATTCGCTATTATCAAGATAAATGTTAATGGTGCTAGCCATTGACAAACAACAGAAAATGATCGTAGGACGTTTTAACTGTTGTTGGCATTACCATTATAATGGGAAGTTTGTTGTAGCTACGGTAAGCAGAATTTACTTATTGTTGTATCCCATTTGATTAAACTTTGGCTTTTTATACGCCCGTCGAAGACGGGGACGTATTATGTTATCACTTGAGCAGGCGGGCGGGCGGGCGGGCGGGCAGGCATGCGAACGATGTCCGCTCGATATCTCGAGTGATTATTAACGTATTAACTTCAAACTTCACAACAAGGTTAATTACCATGAAAGCTCGGACAAGTTCGATAACCGCCATTATCCGACCATAATTTGTGGAGTTATGCCCCTTTATGGACTTGCCGAAACAGTGTCCGCTCGATATCTCGAGTAATTATTAACGGATTAACTTCAAACTTCACAACAAGGTTAATTACCATGAAACCACGGACAAGTTTGATAACCGCCATTATCCGACCGTAATTACTGGAGTTATTACCCTTGGTTTCATTAATGCGATGCATGCGTTCCATGATGTTGTATTGCACTCATTGATCTACCAGTTATGTTGAATGATTTCCCTTTTAATATCAATTACTCACAAGTACTTCATATATTTCAATCATACAAACAACTGCTCATTCAATGTGTGACGGGCGTATTATATACCGCTCGCGGTAACCTTGTTTACACGTGAAAAGAATTGCAATATACACCCTGCAAATGTTGCACTTCAGTTTTATCTTGGTCTGAACTGCTGACAATTAACAGTTTTGTGCAATGATAAATCCTGTAATTTTGTTCCAAACACAAACCTGTAAACAGACAATGCTCAGGGTAAATGAAGTTTCTTCAACCTTACCATTGTCAGGACTTGCATGATAAGCTGATTTTCTTATTTAAACACAAATTTTGGTCCATAAAATGAAATTTAAAAAAAGTCTTCATTGATTTCCTCCAGGCTGCTGGCATCACCATAGGGAAGGCTATTGAGGCTTTGGCGAACATCGGCACCGCAATCATCATAGCCTTGATATATGGCTGGAAACTGACACTAGTCATTCTGGCTTTTATTCCCCTGATGGCTGTTTCAGCAGGATTCCGTATGAAGATTTTAACTGGGGTTGCAGGAAAGAACAAATTAGCACTAGAAGAAGCCGGAAAAATTGCCACGGAGGCCATAGAAAACATGCGAACAGTGGCGGGACTTTCTATGGAGGAGAAAGTGTTTGTTCTGTACATTAACAGCTTGGAACAGCCGTACAGGGAGGCTATTAGGAAATGTCATCTGACTGGATTGGCCTTCTCTATATCACAGGCTATGTTGTACTTTGCGTATGCAGCTGCATTTTACTTCGGAGCCTATTTAATTAGGGAGAATGAGATGGAGTTTGGTGATGTCTTTAGGTAAACATTTTTAAGTTTGGCAAAGTTTTCAAGTAAATGTTTACAAGTCTGGTAACATTTTCAAGTAACTAATGTTATATAAAGAAGTTAAGTGACATTTTCAAGTTAACATTTATACATTTGATGACATTTTCAAGTGAACATTTTTAAGTTTGGTAACGTTTTGAGGTAAACATTATAAAAATTAGGTTGTATTTCAAGGTAAATTTAAATAAGATTGATGAGTATTTTCCAATTATATTTCAATGTCATGCAGATTAAATGTGATGAAAACTTAAACAATTTCCCTTCTAAAACTCACTATGGTAGGGATGGGAGGAGGTGTCTATCCGTTGTGTTAAATGTATGTCAATTACCTACATCACAGGGGTCAGTTGTGTTATAAACATAGAACAACTGCAAAACTATGAGGCCTGAGTTCATCATATTTTGTCCTGTAGCTTGTAAGGTAAAATTGTAACAGTTCTGTCCAATTCCACTTGCCGGGGTTAACAGAGACTCCAGGTAGTGAGTACTTATTCCCTATAGGCATTTTATAGGCCTATTACAAATGTGATGTACTGGGGCCTATATAGAAAATTTGTCCAGAAGATCTGTGTCTTAATCCAACAATCCTGACCTATTTTTTTACATTCTAGAGTTTTCTCTGCGGTTGTATTTGGAGGCATGGCCCTAGGACAGGCAAGCTCGTTTGCTCCCGACGCTTCCAAAGCCAAGGTGGCGGCAGCTCACATATTCGCTCTGTTGGATCGTGTGCCTAGCATTGATACTGAGTCGGACGCTGGTAGTAAACCTGTATGTATTGATCATGCTTTGGTGATATGTAAGCACTGAACAAGTTGGAAACTTTCTATAAGAATTATTGTATAGCTTCTAATGAAAATACCTAAAAATGTGAAATATTTCCCCCAGGTATTGCAATATCTGCATGAATCTATTGAACCATTGAATACAAGAAGCTTTACATGAAAGTATTTTAATGAAAGTATGTTACTAAGGCTCCAAATATTGACTAAAACAAGGCTTAATTTCTTTCCAAATTTTCTTTTTTAATGTAATGTTGTATTACTTATTTCATTATTTTAATCTGATACAGCGATAAATAAGTGTTGAGAAGACTAATATCAACCATTTATTGATAACAGCTTTGTTTTATTGACAGGTCAACTTCACTAGTAAAATTTCCTTTGGGAATACAAAGTTCTGTTATCCCTCTCGGCCAAATGTTCAGGTTTTACAAGGTCTTAACCTGGAAATATCCTCAGGAGAAACACTCGCTCTCGTGGGGGCCAGTGGGTGTGGCAAGAGTACTACAGTACAGCTCATAGAGAGGTTCTACGATCCTGAGGATGGAGAGGTGGTAAGTTAAACATTCTGATTTGGAAGGGTGGGGGGGGGGGGGGGGGGGGGGGTAGATGTAGAGAGCACATAATTGTAGGAACAAACGCTTGCTCTTCTGGAAGGAGTGGTGAGTTTGTAAAAAATTTGGGTTGTGGAAGGACAATTGAGGAACGTACTGGTGAAGCATGGTGAAATGAACTGCGGTTCATATTACACTGTATCATAATGGTGAAATGAACCGCGGTTCATATTACACTGTTTCATAATGGTGAAATGAACTGCGGTTCATATTACACTGTATCATAATGGTGAAATGAACTGCGGTTTATATTACACTGTATCATAATGGTGAAATGATCCGCGGTTCATATTACACTGTTTCATAATGGTGAAATGAACTGCGGTTCATATTACAGTGTATCATAATGGTGAAATGAACCGCTGTTCATATTAAACTGTATCATAATGGTGAAATGAACCACTGTTCATATTACACTGTATCATAATGGTAAAATGAACCATGGTTCATATTACACTGTATCATAATGGTGAAATGAACCACTGTTCATATTACACTGTATCATTATGGTACTATGAACCGCCCCATGGTGAAATGAAGGGTTCCATCGATTTCTATTCTGACAATTTTTTTTCCATTCATTTTCTTTAAGTTTACTTCAACTTGATGTATTCTATCTGAAAACCTCAAAAATTTGGTGGGGCAAGGGGTGCTTCACTTTACCATAATGGTGAAATGAAGGGTTTTGGCATTTTTATTTTTATTTTGACTTTTGTAAACCAAATCTGTTTTAGATTACATCATTTTACTGTCCTGAATATGAAAATCACAAAAATAATGTCTGGGGTAGAGAAATCTAGGTTGGGGCAGGGGCGCTTCACTTTACCATAATGGTGAAATGACGGGTTTTAGTAAAAAAAATAAAAAATAAAAAAAATATTTTTTTTTTAAACCAAATCTGTTTTACATTACATCAATTTGATGTCCTGAATATGAAAATCACATAAATTATGTCTGGAGTAGAGAAATCTAAAACCCTTCATTTCACCATTATGGTAAAGTGAAGCGCCCCTGCCCCACCCTAAATTTTTCTACCCCTGACTTAATTTTTGTCATTTCAAATAGAATACATCAAATTGAAGTTAACTTAAAGAAAATAATCGAAAAAAGTTGTCAGAATAGAAATTGTTGGAACCCTTCATTTCACCATGGGGCGGTTACCATAATGGTAATATGAACCACGGTTCATTTCACCATGGCCTTCATATTACCTTATTACACCTGTCTGCTTTTGTATATAGAAATTGAATCTGAATACTAAGAAGACATTATTATATATTTCTTTCATGGTATATTTATCATTCACCCTGTGAGGATCCTTTTTTTTGTTACAGAAGTTGGACTCGTATAATTTGAAGGATCTCAATGTACAGTGGCTAAGGTCACAGGTCGGCATCGTATCCCAGGAGCCCATACTCTTTGACAGCAGTATAGCAGAGAATATTGCTTATGGTGACAACTCAAGAGTGGTTGGTATGGATGAGATCATTTCTGCAGCAAGAAGCGCCAACATTCACCAGTTTATAGACTCCCTACCCAATGTAAGACATATTGAATATAACGCAGACAAGTTGTTTTGAAAATCACTCACTTTTTTTCCACAGAAACAACCAGTTATGGTAACTCAGTTAGATAGAATTTAGAAAGAAAATAACTCTAGTTGGTGGGAGGTCGTATACATCCCAGCCCTCTTATTTATTTCTGCAATAGCTAGCCCTTATTGTTGTCTACTGGAACAATAGAAACACCTACTTTTTCTGTGAAGAAAAATAATTTTTAGAATTAATATTTCAAAATCAGTTTCATGAATCTAAAGTATCACAATTTTTTATCAGCATGTTTGTGTATAATTCAGCTGTGAGTACAATCTGAAAATATAAAATTGAAATCTTTGTGAACAAAATAAATTGATATTGTTACATTGTTTTGATCATAAAGTGCAATATATGAAATCGATGTACATTTGATATAATTCTTCAGGGTTATGAGACTAATGTTGGCAACAAAGGGACGCAACTCAGTGGTGGACAGAAACAACGAGTGGCCATTGCTCGTGCCCTGGTCAGAAATCCCAAGATTCTCCTGTTGGATGAGGCAACGTCAGCCCTCGACACGGAGAGTGAGAAGGTGAGAAACACAAGTCATCAGATGAGAATATTCATATTTTGCTGTTGACACAAACAGGTGTTATATTTGGATAAGTAAGACGCCTGTGACTACCCATCAGTGTTTCTTCCTAGTCATCATTTTGTATAGAGTAAGAGTACCTGGACCACTAGATTTACGATATAGATAGATAATTCAATAAAACGGAGCAGCCTAAACCTGAATTAATTATACTCCTGGCAATAAAGACCGGGAGTACCACATTGGAATAAGGCTGTCCATCCCACTGTGGACAGAACTTTGTCTGGGACAATGCTATTTATCTTCTGAACCTTTTTGATGAAACTTTGTACACATGATCAGTAACTTTTCTCTTTTTATTCACTAAGTTTGTATGAAATACTGCTGAGACATGATTCCTTTTTTCTTTGTTGATATCTAAGGATGTGTAGTTGCATGATTGCCATTAAGGTTTAGTTCAACTATTGTTAAGGGAGCTATTATAAGTTTCTGACTTTTTTCTGTGGGAGTTACGGTATTTAGCTCAGGATTGTCCACTGACCATTGATATGCTTTATTTGAAGTTAGCTGATGTCTTTAGGTATAGCTCAGGATTGTCCATTGATATGCTTTATTTAAAGTTAGCTGATGGCTTTAGTTATAGCTCAGGATTGTCCACTGACCATTGATATACAGTAGATTTCTCTTAATATCACTTCCCATTTGTCAGAGAAAAACATGATATTAACAGAAACATGACATAAACAGAAAACATATTTATTGACGTTTTTCAGCCCTCAAAACTGGAGGTGAACTTAGTCAAATGCCTAAGTGATGTGGCTCTACGAAGAAAATTGTAAAATAAAGATATTTTGTAACTAACCTTGTTCTTTACTCTAGTTGAAATATAGTATAAGTAAATAGTATAGAAATAAATATAATATTTGTACAATGTATTTCATTTCAGTATGCATACATTTCATATAGTTAGTAGCAAAATGACGATCAGTACGATCGTAATTATGATTGTTTACTGCAGTAGTGATGTAGGCATACAAATAATTGGCTGGTATTCTGCATCAAATTCAATTGTAAACATGAAACTTGGTAAATATTTACTAACTATCGTACCAATTTCAACATTCAATTGTAGGTTGTACAGGAAGCCTTGGACAAGGCCAGAGAGGGAAGGACATGTATTGTAATCGCACACCGCCTGTCCACCATCCGTAATGCCGACAAAATCTGCGTCATCAAGCATGGTCAGGTCGCAGAACAGGGTCGTCATGGTGACCTTATGTCTAAACAAGGACTCTACTACAAACTCAATACTGCTCAGAGTCGTCAGAAATAAATAAAATGTGTGTGAAAGACTCATACAATGTTATATCATCTGGCTGCAGAATCTTTCTCATTCATTCTATTTGCCTAAATCACCTTTAAAGGGCAAATAATGAGATGACTATATTTTTTCTGCGATTTGTTCTCGAACCTTAAAATCAGTGGTTTTGTTTTCTTATAAAAAAGAAATAATATTTTTTTGAGACATAGTATTAAGACATTATTTTTTTTTCTCCAAAAAACGTGTTTAAAATTTCAAATTAACTTCATAATCAGCATTAAAAAGTCTTTATTCTTCCAATAATGATGACTCGTAAGAACTGTAAAAGTTTGTCTGTGATAGTTTATAATGTAACTCTAATTCCATATTTATTGTAGATGTTTATTGTTATTGAAAGTCTTAATATAGCTCCTTTTGATTATTTGATTAATTGTTTTAAATTCAAGAAGTCTGTACAATAGTGGTAGCAGTCAGTAGTTGCTTACCATATCTTGTGGATTTTCCCCCAAAATAGAATATTAAATTATAGAATAATAAGGTTGTTTGAAAAGAATATTGTAGGGTGGGGGTTGGATACTTGAGATGTTGGAACTATCTATTGAACTAGAACACTGACAGGTCAGTAAGGGCCCCGTCTTGTGGCAATATATCCCCCATAATCATCAGGAAGCGATCTGCCCATATAGCTGAGCTTGACGTTTGACATTTTGACTTCAAAAAGAATCGCAAGGAAGCAAAATATACATTTTACATGTACTATGATGTGAGTCTAGTTTCCTTCCACCTCCATATTTGCTGGGCTTACAGAAATGTAAATACTAGTGCAACACTCATTTGTTAGCTTTGATTTGTTTTATTTCACCTTATATACCTCCTCCATCAAGAGCCAAGGTCATAGTCAGAGATCCACTTTGTCTGACCTTTGGACCCAAATGACCTTGACCATTAAACCAGTGACCCTGATCTTTGGTCAGTTGACTTATCCTTTAATTCAGACCAACTTTACTTCTTAATATCATAACAAAATGTTCATCAGTGAAAAATGCAAAACTTGACCTTGACCTTGACCCTTTGGACCCCGTAACCTGGACCTAAGGTCAGTTGACTCTGTGTTAAGTTCTGAACAACATTGCTTCATAATGTCATAACAAAATGTTCATCAGGGAAAAGGTACAAAATTTAACCTTCACCTTTGACCTAGTGACCTTTGGTCAATTGACTCCTTGTTTAATTCTGAGCAACATTGCTTCAAAGTGTTATAGCGAAATGTTCACTAGTGAAAAGATACAAAATTTAACCTTGACCTTTGACCCAATGACCTTGACCTTTGGTCAGTTGACTCCTTGTTTAATTCTGATCAACTTTGCTTCATAATGTCATAACAAAATGTTCATCAGTGAAAAGATGTAAAATTTGACCTTGACCTTTGAACCTAATGACCTCGACCTTTGACCTTGACTTTTTACCTCAATGTGTATTTTTGTGAACTGAACATCTTGACAAAGTTTCATGTACATCGGTCCATAGATACTAAAGTAGTCAGCCTGGAACGAAATTTGTGGACGGACGGACAGACAGACAGACAGAGTGATTAGCCCTAACTAGTTTGTCTTCATTGATTGAGGAAAATCTGCAAGGCAACCATGCTTATTCAGGAAATTAAATTAAAAACAAAGTGACAATTCCTGAATAAGCATGGTTGACATGCAGATTTTCATCAATCAATGAAATTTCATCTTCCAAGAATACCTAAGAAATACTTACACATTTTACACGTAAATAATATTAATCATGTTATTTTCATGAGATGTTAATTTTTACTTTACATATATTTAATGAGGAGACTCATTCCTAACTTGTATTCCATAAGTAACTATAAACAATAATGAAATGGATTGGATCATAAAATAAAGTGGACAAAAAGGTGATTTTCAGTAAATACAGGTATCTTTTTTTCTTCCATGACAATCAAGCTTTGGTGTTTCAGGGTACAGAATATATTTTATAGACATAAAAGAATATCCTTGTGGCAGTTAATATTTTGAAGGTTATACAGTTTTATTTCTACATCTACTCTCTTATTTGTTTACATTGGGTTTGTATATATTTGCTGAATTGTGGAGTATCTACAAAGTCCACCTCTGAGGTAACAGATGTTACCATGCTAGTATTTGTCACAGACTCTGGTGCTTGTTTTTATGTTTTGTTTTGTTTATGCGATATTGTTGTAAAAATGCTTTAAATTTGAACTTTAACCACAGAGTGAACCCATGTATGGTTAAATAATGTATTTAATATTTGAGTTAAAATATTGATACTTTGTTACTGTGGTTTTACATTCATCTAATGAAACACTCTTTTAAATATTACATTAAATATTCGAGGTAAAATATTGATATTTTGTTACTGTGGTTTTACATTCATCCTATGCTACGCTCTGTTAATTATTTTTAATTGAGTTGTTTTTATTTAGATGTTTTCGTTTAAAATGTTGCATTCAAGATGGTGTCTATGTACTTGCACAGTCTTTACAATTTGATGGTTTTTAGTTCAATGAAATGTTATTTATTTCTCATGATGCCAAATACATGTATAATGGTTCACTTTATACATGTACATAACACAAAAATCCGTCCAGATAGCTGTATTTTCTCTGTACATGTACCATCTTAAGCATGATTGTGCTAATTAAATCAATCCTATGTCAAGTCAATTTAGTCTTATGTCAATTTTTTTATTTCTAATATGTATTGGCACTGGATCTAGTCCTACATTTTACTTTACACTGAAGCTTCTTCGTACAGAATTGTATCCTCTTAATGGAAACACAAAAGCAACCAAAAATTTTGGTATGGGTGCAGCAGATATATTTTGGCAAAATATATCTGCTGCACCCATACCAATATTTGGGATCTTTATTTTTTTCTCCAATTCCCAACAACCTTTTGATTCCTTAAGTGCATTGCTGGGTAATACTCACTTTTGACAATAAAGTTGAATGTTCTTAGTGGGGAAGGGAATGGGTTCTGTCCCCAAAGTCCTTAAATGGTGGATGTTATTCCCTGCTCAACGTAAATAATTTAGGGTTATCACAAAAACTTACTAATCCTTTGTATAAGGTGACCAGATGGAATACTATGCTGGGTGCTTTTTGGTATGGTATTTCAGTGAGGTAGCACTCAAAAGTTGGCATCAGATCCACAGCTATTGTGGGTAGGCAAATACACCAACATATATACCGCCTCTGTACACATGCTTACATTACATGCATCGATGAACGTTATTATCTGACCCAATCGAACCAACGGATAAATGATAAATGTAACCTCAGCGGCTTACATCACTTTTTATACATACCTACCACTAAAAGTGTAGTTTGTATAATTTAGTTGTCACTTTGGTCGTCATATATTTGGAGGCACGGTAGTCTAGTGGTAGGACGCCGGGCTCGTGACCAAATGGTTGCGGGTTCGAGTTACGCCACGGCACTGAGTTGTATCTTTGAGCAAGATACTTTACTCCGCTTGTTCCAGTCTACCCAGCTGTAAATGAGTACGTGGTTGGGCAGTGCTAGAATTGTTGAATGCTAGCTGTGAGCGCCGAAATGGCAGCACCGGCTGTATGCTCCCCAGGGAGTTGAGAATGATATTGGCTGGTTGCAAAGGCCCTTTAACCACGGATAATAATTTGTGAACCGCTTTGAGATGACCTACGATCTAGATTTTGATAAAGCGGTATATAAGAACCTCAAATTATTATTATTATATCTGTCCCAACCTTGTCCGTTTTTTCCGAACCAATTAACATTCTTAAGTGGTATGGTGCAGCAACCTGTCTGTCTAGTACCCATCCTCAACTTTTACGTGAAGAGACTTGGTCTAGAGAAGTGAAGTGAAAGGATCCTTTGACTACGTGTATTCAATGTTGTATCATGCAAACGAAGTTTTACCACCACCAATGGTGATAAGGTTAACCTTATTTTTGGCATGGAGCATCTCTAGGTCAAGATGATTTAACGTTATATATAACGTTGTCTCCGTTGGGTTGAGGGTGCACAGAGCCCATAGAAAAATAGAGGTAAATCTTTTGAATGTTATTGCTCAAAAAAGTTTGAAAGGATGTTAATCTTAATGGATGGTTAGCAGTAATGCCCCTTTAAGTACCATGTGTTCATGTCCTCAGCATATATCAAGTAACTTGCATCGCGAGACCTTTGCATATTTAGAATTATTGTTGTTATGAGCTGGCTGATGCTCATTGAGTTCCCTTCGTTCTGTATGAAACTCCCCTCTGCAGTACTCTGGCTGTTGTTGCTTTTTCCTTCTTTTCTAAGCTACCAAACAGCCTCTTTAATAGCGCAGAGCAGTTCTTCAAAAACTGGTATGATACACCATTTGGCCAAAAGACCAAGGTCCTATAACTTCCCTTATAGCCTACACTTACTGCAGTTCGCTTTCGTCAAACGCTTTCACTTCATCTGTATCAAGTATTTTACTGTCTTCTTCCAGATCATCTCTTCTCCTTGCATCCTATGTTCCCCCACTTCTTCTCATTGGCAGTCTCGAGACTCACTAGTTATATTACATACACGTGTTAAGCTTTTCCTGACCCTCTTTCCGGTAAAGTTGAGTAGAATCAAAGTGTTGAGCCTCTCTAATTTATTTATTAACGCTGGCTGTTGTCAATGCAAGCCTCCCTGGACCTCTTCCTCCGTGCCACAAGATTGAGAAATGAATCACAGTTTATCCACTTGTGGTTGATACTTGGAACAACACGGCCTCTTTCTTTGTTCGGTGCTCTTGACTCGTATTCATATTCCAGTCCGGTATATATCTGCCCGTTGGGTCGCTAATCCTCCCCCGATCTGGTTCACGTGCAGCCCCGAGAGTATCCTAGTAAGTATATCAACTGCGCGTGTCTGGCTTTAACTTCACAGTGAATGTGGCTCTTCCTGCCAAGTCTTACTTTTATTCCAATTTTCACCCCGACTTTCCAGGTCATCGCTTAATTAGTTTTAGTTGTCGGCTAACCTTTCATGGCAGTCACTCCAAATCTGGAGAATTGATTAAATTCCCATCCTTGCCAGTCAAATCAGTGGGTGGATATTATATAAATATCACATTCATGAGAGGGCGATATTGCATATGTTCACCCCAAGGAAGCATTGTTGACCGAGGCGAAGCCGAGGTCAACAATGCTTTCCGGAGGGTGAACATATGCAATATCGCCCTCTCATGAATATAATATTTATTTTATTATACCGAGTGTCATGTTTAGGTGTTTCACCACTTCACCATTTTTAAAGGTCGACAAACGTTTCAGAAAAGTTTTCACTGGGATGAACCAGGTGCGCATACATTCGGCGCATGTAACAATGTTTGGAATAACACCCTGTCTTCTTTATCTTTGTAAAACGAGCAAGTAACGTTGAAAATGTTCACATCTTTCTCAACCAATCAGATTACGAGATTTTAACAGAAGGTATAATAATGTCCTCTATCTTTCGTTTTGACGGTATTCCATGACGTCATCCATAAGTATATAACTAAATTTATTCCTTTTATTTCCAAATTTATCAGATTCACGATCCCTAAGAGACCGGAACATGTTTTTTCTTTGGTAAAATGATTGTTCTCAAGTTATGTTCTTTTCTTAAACTTTTCCAAAAGTACGTTGCCGGTAGAAATTATGTGTGTCTTCAATCAGGGACGGATACTGTCCCTGCTTCAATGAAAAACATCATTTGACCCTACCTATGTTTGTGAAAAGTAATGTAAAACAGTAATTTTATAGTTACACCATTTCAAATACGCTGATCGGCGGCAGTTATGTCGCCGCGACAGAAGAGAAAATGTCGTGTCACCTCGAGCTCTTCAAACTATGGTCTGCAGGCTGTACCAAAAGACTTGCCCATAATTATAAACATAATTCATGTTTAGGCCTAGCGGTCAGTCCCTAGTGTTACTTTATTTTATAGTTTCCTTCGCTTGTAATACTTTATTTTCAGCTATATGATTATATTTATTTTAAAACATAAAAGAAAGAATTTTTCATTCATAAAAATATTGTTTAGAATTTTTTATGTTCTGTTATTTCATTTGAGTTCTGACTGTCCCTGTTCGTGCTGAGGCTCTTGTAAATATCCAGCTTTGTTTAACGTGTGCGTGTATTTTAGTAAACGTATCACTTCTGCATTAAACAGAATTTGGAAAATGCTATTTCAATATTTGTTATACTTTATAAAAAAACAAAAAACGACGTTTTGCTGATTGTGGTAATTCTATTTTAATGAAGGATTATAATGCATCTGTCACACGAGTATATGTGTGGGTTTCTTCTTGTGCGAATATATAGATACAATAACCCAAAGACATATGCACACGCAGATGACAGCTTATTTAAACATTCACATCATGAACGGAGACAGTTCCCTGAAATAAAAATACAATGTCTAAGTGTACATATACGGACACGTGTAAACGTATAACTATATCCACATATATTAATACCATAAAGTATTTAATATTTAGACAATACTTGGAAATAAATATTATATTTTATTTCAGAAACTTACATAACATAATTACACCCTAATTTTAACCCTATGACATGATGTTATAAAACCTGACCATGTGTACCCTAATTTAACTTATAGCCTCAGATATTTGACGGCAATATAATTCAAATGCAATAGATTATAAAACCACAGTACTTTATTTAATAATTTGTTAAACAGAAGTAATAGTTTCTTTTATATTATTTTAAATTTAATGTAAGACTTACCTTGCACTGTGGCGGTTCTTATCCAAGCCAAGGGTTGGTATAGAGTGAATTAACTCACCTGTAATCTGTAATCTTTATGCCCGACAACGCGTTGAACTTTTCAGGAATTTGAATGCATACATTCCACTCAGCCAACAAACCTTGATGTTTGGTGATTCAAACTTATCTAATAATGATAATGAACAAATTTTTAATTATACTCAGAAATACATGGACAATACGAAAAGATTCTACACCCCCCCCC